TACAAGGCGTTTAACAGAGCCATCTGTTCTACCATATAGAACGCCTTGTAGCTGGTGAAAGCTGCCCCAGTGCCAGCGGTGCTGCACTGTACTTCTTCAGCTGTTATGTCTTCAGATGACATGCATACAGCCGATGACAGAAAACCCTGTTCGAAAACCTGCCTGTTTCTGATTGGTAAGTAGTTAACGGTCTTTGTGAGTACGGCTTAGAATGACGCGGGTAAGACGATAGATTTGTGACAGGACTATAATTGGTCGACAGTTCTTGAGGTCTTGAGAGTCGCTTTTCGTCGTTCTTGATGTCTTCCATACTTAAGGCGTCTCGCTCTGGCTGAATTACGTAAAACTTTTGGCATGCTGTTTAAACCGGGTACATGAATAAAATGGGAACGATTAAATTACACAGTGCATTAAACTCTGTCTTGAACATATGAAAGGATGTAACACAAGCGTTGCACACTGCTTTGTTTATCACTGATATGCAAAAATTCTTCAACTACCTATTTAATTCTGTCTTCATGTCTATCAGTGACATCGCCTGCACTGTATCTATGAATGTACTCAAGGCTTCGCTCACAATGGCTTAGCGAGCAGTATGTTTGTTCGAGAGAGCTCTGGTATGTTCCACTAGAGTTATTTTAAGAGCAGTAAAGCAACATAAGTAACATTACAAGGAGCCGTGGTGTGCATAAATACACCCAGGCAATTAGAAGCAAGGGATCCGTGCAATGCGCTGAGAAATCTTATCTCTGATGAGTCATTCGTTATTTGACATACATATGTTTTAAAACTTATGCAGCGATATGTAAGGGCTACCAGCTTCCTAAACATCGTTCGCAGTGAGCATGAGATGGCTCTAGAAGACAAAATAATGCGAGACACTGTCTACCCTCCTAAGCAACTAGGAGCAAGGACGGTGCAATATTGCTGAAATTGGTGCTAAACGGGCTATGCGTTATTTAACATTAAAAACTTATACTACGCTGTTAGCCTCTTCTGTAGGAAAAGCCTTAAATCTCTTTTATAACAATAATCTACAGCATTACCCCAATTAAAAAACATTAAACCCATTCTTAAGTATCAAGCGGAACGATGACTTAAATTTAAATTTCATACAATTATTGAAATAGGCACGTATTCCATTTTGATTTATAGTTAAAGTCTGACTGACGAATGCACGACCACTATCCAATTTGGAGAGAGTTCGCAACTAATCCTGCTTCTCAGCTGTGAACCACCTCCAGGAAAACCCAACTTGGTATATTACTCCCCCGGTTTTAATGACAAGCCTAATTTGAACCGGATTCATGGTTTCGGTTTTGATACGGATGCAGTACTGTCAGGTTTCACAGATACAAATGCATGGAAGAGTATACTGGATAACACCAAGCAGAAGTATGGAGTGGAAAAAAGGGGTTGAAATCTATTATTAGGACTGCTGCCGAATTAAGAGATCTGCTTCAAGCTCATCATGCATGTGTCATGTCCCTGCTGTAATGATTCCAGTCAGTTGAAAAAACAAAAGGCTGAACGACGCAGAAAAATTTACAGCCCCAAATACACGACTATCAAAGGAATGGCTGGTTCCGGTGCTTGTGAACAGACAAGAATAACAACCCTCTATTCTCATTGATATCGTGCATCGAAACCTTCAGAAACTTAATGCACTCTGAGTATCGTAACTGTAATTAAAAACGTTGTCTGTAGTAGCAAGTCCTGCACTGGGTATGGTGGACGAGATGCTGGGTCAAAGCTGTGTCTGAGGATAGACATATGTGGTGGAAGCCTTCAGA